GTAAATTAATTAACACATTTGAGTTTGTCGCGTAATCAATTTACGCGATTATTATCAGCATTATAAATGCGAGACGAGCGTTATATGGTTAATTAGCGCCGATGAACGGCGCAATTAACACGTGACCCGAATGCTCGATTTAATACGATATAATTCGGAATGTAGCATTCGGTCTTTATTAAATCATTCCATTCTAATAATTAATGTTTCCTCTCTCTGGTACTAGCGTTGTTTATCTCGAGTGTGAAACTCAAAGTTGTGTACTTGCCAATATAATTCCGATAGCGTGTCAGCGTTCTTTTGTATTTTTGATAACGCGAGCATGCGAGTATAATACCGCGATCGGCCGCGGAAAAACTCGACGAACATTTTGTGTTATAGATGTTTATGATAATCGCGTGTGAATGTGCTATAAGACGCATATACCGAGACCGAAACATAAATTGTACGATTACATGATCGAGTCCAACGTGTTTTCTGCAATGTGTATGAAAGTCGATGTACAATAATGTAGTCATCCGTGAATAAGAAACGTTACGACGTCTTTCTTCGACATTTGCATGAAAATCTGGGGTAGTTTACAGTTTAATCAGACGATACCCTTTAATTGTGCTTTCATATGCATTGATCAGAGAGCAATCTTGCCTAAATAAAAAAGGAATACTCTACGCTTTGCAGTCCCAGCGAAAAGCTCGCGTACGTTGCTATTCCGCATTCATGTAATTCGTATATTTGTATAATTGCATTCTACGTCGATGCTAATAATTGCCATATTTACGCTTAATAAAAAATGGGATATGCATGAATCGCTCGGTCGAGTAATGTACGATTTAAGATGAAAGACGGAAAATGTGGAATAATATTTATTCTATTTTTATATTTATTAAAATCGGTTTGTGATGAGCTTTATTGTACATTTTTACATTTGAAAGAATTTTTAACAAAATTTATAATATACACATTTCTATTTTAGATTTATTTAAAAAAAGATAATTTTATAATGTGTCTCCGACAACAATGGATAAATTTTTATTTTTATCGGGATATTTTATGTGAATTTGCTAATTTTCACTCGATACCGAGCATAAAAATAATATTCGGTTTTATGCTTTAAGGATTGTAAAATTTCTGTAACTTGTATTTATATTACATTCAGGTGCGGATTTTTAAATCCGATTTATGTGTTAGGTTTTACTCTGTACTCAACATCCTTGGCAGCTCGCATTTAAAGAAGAAAGATTTCGTGCGTGTACCCTTTGTTGAATCAACCACCTAGTATTACGATCTCAATGGAAAATATTATTTTAGAGTTAAATGCGAAAATAATCGAATATGGGTATTATACGATAAAATGTTTAGTATAACAAAGTCAACAATCGATTTTCCTTGTAGATTGGTCGCGAAAGATGTACAAAATTCATTCGCGGAATTTAGTGACATGATATTTTCGGACCAATCTATCGTTATTTCTAGAGTTGATCTATTTTATTGTAAACGTAGAATATATAAAGATTGCTTTATCGACGAAAATATGGTCCATTTAAAAACGGAGTAAGTTTTATTCACTCCAAGTATCTCTCTTGCGAGTTAAAGTATTATCGATAAAAAGTTGTATAAGCAAATATTTTTATTGGGATACACATATACTTTGTATGAATTTATATTTTATTTATCTGGATACCGCAATCAGGAACATAATTCTCTTAGGAAAAAATTTTTTTAGAAACTTAACGCACAAATGCTCAATCTTTACTGGCATCGGAAATCGTCGAGATATATATGTATTCATATATTTATATCACCAAACACATTTTATATAAACTACTTACTGCCAATTCACATTAATGCACATATCCGTCAAAGTACATACGTACATACATTTCCTTCCAATGCTAAAAACTTTTAATCCAGCAAAACATAAATAAGACAAGGGAGTATGTTCAACTCCAATTAATAAATATAACAATCGTCATTATATTACGAACTAATAATGCTTGTAGAATTTTTTTAATCGTACTCGACTGTTTTGGAACATCTTTGTATTTTCATAACATTCGAGATATTGTACAAAGTTGTATAATTAAGGGCGTTTTAATAGGCGTATGCGAGTTAATAGAATGTAAGTAATATGAATAAAATTTATTTTATACTTTTGCTCGTGAAGACAAAATTAAATATCGGAAACGAATATACATTAAGTTAAAAAGTTGCAAAAGTATTATAAATGGTGTTTAAATCATCTAGGATCACTTTTGGAGCCATAATTAATTAATATGTCAGCTCTATCATTTTTAAATGTATATTTGAATTTTGTGTAAAAGAATAATTTGCGTAGTATCAATTTCGATGTAGCACAATCTTTTCAGAAGCGCTGCAAAGTAACAAATGATACTCTCCTTATATAAATGCTGCCAAATTTATAACACGGATATTTACAGATTGAAATCTTTCAAACAGAACCGAAACAATCTTGTATCATAATTCAGAGTATTACGTGTTACTTGTGTCGGTGATAATGTCATCCAATACAATTTATACAAATAGCAAATAAGTTTTTTCATTGTTGGCTTAGCTTGATGAGAATATTGCAGATTTCACGTGCATTCAATTAAGGCTCTGTTCGTCAAGAATAGCGCTACATATTCATTTGTCATAAGTTGTAAATTAATTACAAAAATAATGTTATTTGTGAATGTGCGATACATTCTCAGATAAGCTTTGTTTTATACTATGTTATTGTTTTTACGCTGATTTTAAGCTATGCACAAGCTTTCACAATTGCAAGAAGAATATGTAAACTATACCGATAAAGAGAACATCTTGTACATTAAGCATATATATATGAAAGTTGTATCTACTGCTTTGTTAAAAAAAGCGACAGATACTTTTTGATTGAAAGACAAAGGCCTATGCGGAGGGCCTGTGAAAATAATTTACCACAAAAGTATAATTAGCATAGTTACGTATATATATACATATATATACTTAACAGATATTTATCTATATAAAATGAATATTATTTATTGTTTTCTATATACACGCTGAATTTTCTGGAGACAAATGAAAAAAATACGAAACATTAGAGGCTGGTTTGCATTTGATTGTGTCACATCGCGCTAATGCATTTCTTACTCTCATTACTCATCAACGAATCGATCATCCGCATTTATAAACTAGCAAGTAAATAAATTATCTAGTATTAGCATTTATATAAAATCGACGATGGGGGGGTAATCGCGATTAAGGACGCGATCGGCTTATCGATGTACATAATATAAAAGAAACACACATCGCCACTTTACACAAGATGATCGAGTATTTATATATATTATATATACATAGCTATTATATACCCTGAGACGAAAACATTCATAACAAGTGTGTGATAATATTTGTAAAACTTGATATTCAATAAACAATTTTATGTTCTTTACAAAGTTCGCGTACATTTTGTATGTGCGAATAAAAATGGATATTCGTATATTAAATTATTGAACATAGTCAAATTTTTCACTTTTAAATTTCTTCAGGTTTTTCTCTCTTTTTCTAAACCAGCTATTTTACTGTACATTAAATTTTTTCTTTTTCACTGCTGTCCCATTATATCTTTTTCTCATGATAAAGTAAGAAAGCGAGTGAAATACAAAGTACGCAATATTTTTATTCTACACATGTTTATTAAAATAAGAATAGCAGCTGGTGGAAGACTTTATAATCAAAGTTATGTATATGTATTTAATCTCGATAATCTCACGATATAAGTAATCGATTGTGTGTAAAGATTTTCGGGAATAATTTTTGAAAAAGTAATTTTAAATATAAAAGCAATGCTGGTTTATTTATTATAGATTGTGTATATTAATTATCTCGATTATCTATTAAAAAAGTTTATATTACAATTGCTTAATTAAAAAATATATTCCATGGATATTATTAATTACTACTTCTGAAATACCTTGATATCGCACAAGACAAAAATTTATTTTTGTACGAGAGAGATAGTTTCGAATATGTTCCAAACTTAACCATAGACATATAAGATGTAGATATGTATCAAGATATCTTTATATACTATATATAATTCTACGTGGAAATTTTAGAAAAAATTCCTACTCAGTAGTCAATCGGTCAGTGTTGTTGTTCGGGCCGGGATTTTTCGCGCATGCGTGGCAAACGCGGTACCAGTACAGTGCTTAGTTGAATAAAAAAGAGTACCATTAATCACCCGTGCAAAAATATCTAATAATTGTTAAAAATGTATGAGAAAAATATTAAATATTTAAATAAATAAATATATATATATATATATATATAAAATTCTAAGCTGAAAAAGGAAAGAGGGTAATAAAATAATTAATTAAAAACACATTTTTATGCAAACGAAAATAAAATATTTTATTTTTGGCAGAATCTCATAGAATACCAACATTTGTTGCACGGGTAAGGAAAACTGCCAAAAACCTCACCAGTATTCATACAAAAATACAAAAAATAAAAATATTTATTTATAAAAATGAACATAAATAAAATTTATCAAATATAAAAACATTATCTTAAAATTATCCTCATGCAGCCATGCATTTTGAAAGTCTCTAACTTTCGGTCGTTTAATTGCTCCTTTTCTTTGCGCATGCATTATTTATAAATATACTTATCTACTCACCTTAACCTAGCCTGTCCTTATTGCCGGGCCCGCCAAGACTTTCGCGCCCAAACACTACTCCTCTTATATACACCGCTGCTTCGGCTGCCATCTACCACGCATGCGCGAGAAAACCCGGCCCGAACAACAACACTGCAATCGGTACGTTCGCGCGAGAGGAAATCTTCCTATTGGTTATCGTACTCCGCCATAATGATTCCACAGTTGATGCATAGTTTATGACCGAGAATTTATTTCTCAGCGTTGAGCGTTGATAACCCTGAAGCCAGAGCTTCGCACCGTCACCGCAAGGGTCTCCAAAACTCCAAAATCAGTTCGGAGTTTGCCCGTCACTTGCCGACCTTCAAACATGGCGATTTGTGCGGTAAATTCGGCGAGTCGCGCCCCGTCGGGATGTTTTTGCATCGCGTTCGCATAGTGAGTGACGTTTGTTGACGCGGATACGAATGCAACCTGAGGCTTGTGCGACATTATCGGTACGTTAGAGAGAAAAGAGAGACATCGAGTCCCTCGCACGTGACGAATGCGATAACGCAACGCAACGCAACGCGCTGCGATGTCTGTGAGCTACGCTAGGATGAAATCCTGTCACGAAGTCTTGTCGTCGTCGTCGTCGTCGACATCGTCGACATCGACGACGCTGAACAACGCGATCAGACGAGCCGGCGATGAGGAGGACTGGCAAATGCAATTGGCATTCTGTAAGCCTCGTCACAATACCACGATCGAGAGCGTGAATTGTATCAGTCAGACTTGGCGGATGAAGGAGCGGGTACGTATACATAGACATTGCGATTACAATTTGTTGCGACGAGGCCAGATGAGATCACGATAAACGCTATCTAGCGCGATGATCTAGGAGAGGCGAGAGCGTTGCTTCTCGACGATTCGCGCGAACGAATCCATATGATCGCGCACGTGTTTTTTTTTTTTTTTAGATGAAAACCGTGAGCGTCGCTTTGGTGTTATGCCTGAACGTCGGCGTAGACCCTCCGGACATCGTCAAGACACAGCCCTGCGCTCGTCTCGAATGCTGGATAGGTGACTAAACTAAACTAATCCCGCGCGTTTGTTTAGCTGATCTTTTCTCTCTTTCACTACTCGCAGTTATGTAATTCCGATTTTGAGGTTAGATTAGACATGTGTACTACGCCGGAGTGACTGCCATGACCCATGACTCGATTGTTTTCAATGTATGGAGCAGCAATATTTTCACGAAAGTTTTCCAACTGATTGTTCAATCTTCGGACGATTTTTTCGAATTTGGGGGACCGAAATAGTTTTGCGATTCAATTTTAATATTTTGTCATTAAAGAACTTTTTCGAAATAGTAAGGAGTAGAATGTAAAGTAATTTGGCAAAAAGAGTTGAAAGAATGCTGTTATGTTAGCACAATGACAGACAATTTTGTATTTAATATTTTAACTTGTACTAGAATATTGAAAAATGCACTTTACATATATACTATTATTTTTTTATGCCGAATATTATATAATAAACTCCAAAATTAAAATTAGAAATGCCTTTGGCAATGTGTATAAAGTATAATCATTATGTATATAAACATAATATTTTTAATCTATAGAATTACATAGTTTAAGACAGTCTTTCAGCATAGAATATTTCCTTTTTTTGCTTTGAAGATAAATTTACAACAAATTTACACCTAACGATGTCAAATACGAATATAGAATTTTTAAAACAAATATCTTTCCAGATCCTTTATCGGTGAGTCCTCAAAAAGCTCTTGAGACTATAGGTTCAAATTTGCAAAAGCAATACGAACGATGGCAACCAAGAGCTCGCTACAAACAAAGTTTAGATCCAACTGTTGAAGAAGTTAAAAAATTATGTACGTCCTTAAGGCGAAATGCTAAAGAAGAGAGAGTTTTGTTTCATTACAATGGCCACGGTGTGCCCAAACCTACCACTAATGGTGAAATATGGGTATTTAATAGGGTTAGTATAGAGTTAATACAAGAATTATGTTTACTGTATCTATATAATATCTATATCAACGATGATCTACTTTTACAGACATATACACAGTACATTCCATTGTCGGTGTATGACTTACAGACTTGGATGGGTGCACCTAGTATTTATGTATACGATTGTTCCAATGCAGGCATTATTGTAGAATCTTTTCAGCAATTTGCCGACCAACATGAAAAGGAATACGAGGTAAAAATGTGTGAATTTTGTTTGAAGATTTTAAATGCTAATCAATTAATGTTTATGTAATTTTACCGATTGTTCTTTACAGATGGAAAAACAGCAAAATCGCGTAACCGGTATGACGTGCCCCGCAGCGCCGTGTTATAAAAATTGCATTCAATTAGCAGCGTGCGCTGCTAATCAGATTTTGCCTATGAACCCGAATCTACCTGCAGATATATTTACATCATGCCTTACTACTCCCATAAAAATTGCAATACGCTGGTAAGTATTTGGCATACAAGCAAAAAAAGGAATATTTGTGTATGTACATTCTATATGTTATATACATATATATTTTTTTCTTCTTTTGCACAGGTTTGCGATGCAACCTACATCTAAATTAGTTCCCAACATATCGCTTGATCTTATTGACAAGTAAGACTATATCACATTATTAAATGCTATATCTTTTAGCAAGTTGTACAAATATCTGTTTGTATATATTTTAGAATTCCTGGTCAATTGACTGATAGGAGAACAATGTTAGGCGAGCTTAATTGGGTATTTACAGCTATTACCGACACAATAGCATGGAATACTCTGCCAAGAGGTAAAAAGTTATATATATATATATATACATGTATATATGTTTGTTAATACAAACTAAAGAGACAGATGAAGTAATTGTAAGAGTTTTATTGTCTTATAGATCTGTTCCAAAGATTATTCAGACAAGACCTATTAGTTGCTAGTCTCTTTAGAAATTTTTTATTGGCGGAAAGAATACTTCGTTCTTACGATTGCACGCCAGTCTCTTCCCCAAAATTGCCACCGACTTATCAGGTAAATTAATCAGTAATCCATTTATTGTATAAAAGAAATTCTTTATTATAATGTGCAAATGTGTTTAAATTTTGAGTAACTATTTTGCTTATTCTTAAATTTGGAATAAAAAAGATCAAAATTTCTATTTTCCTAGCATCGTATGTGGCAAGCTTGGGACATGGCGCTTGATCTGTGTTTGGCACAATTGCCAATAGTTTTGGAAAACGAAGATCGATATGTGCATTCATCATTCTTTGAAGATCAACTTACAGCTTTCCAAGTATGGCTCAATTTAGGATCGAAAAATCGCAGTCCGCCCGAACAGCTTCCAATCGTTCTCCAAGTATTATTGAGTCAAGTTCATAGACTGAGAGCATTAGAGCTCTTGGGACGTTTTCTTGATCTCGGTCCATGGGCTGTGAATCTAGCACTTAGTGTCGGCATCTTTCCATATGTGTTAAAATTATTACAAAGCAACGCCAGGGAACTTCGTCCCTTGCTCGTCTTTATATGGGCAAAGATTCTAGCAGTGGATAATGTGAGTCTTCTCTATGC